AATATAAAATTGTGTATCAAAAAAATGCCCTTCAGATAGAAGAAATACATTGTATATATTGTGGTTATAGACAGTTTTGTTGCAGTCGAAGTTCCTATTAGGTTTGAACTTCAGCATTACTTAGGATGTAAGTACTATAAAATTGGAGCAGCTAAGGATGATTGTAAACTGCCTCAAGACTCATCCTCAGATCTCCCCAGTTGTGAACCAATATCCTAGTAACTCTTTTATATGCCAAGTCCTCATAATGTTGCCTTGCTCTCATCCCCAGCTCACAGCCAAGGCAGCCTAAAATTGATCTGGTATGCTTCACTGATGATGTGATTGCTGACATTGTCAAAAGTGGGATCTGCCCAGCTTCTATTGGCCACTATAGGCTGCAGGGGATATGCCCTGCTCCCCTCACAATAGCACTAAAATAAAACATATTCTACTACACAATAATTTTAATACTCCATTTCCTGGGCTTTCTGTTAGGCGAATTTCAGTACTATGTCCCTCTTCCAAAACTGCCAATTTCCCCTGAAACACTTCAAGAAAAATTTTAAAATATTGAAGTATTTGTGCAAAATCTTATATATTAAAGTAGCACTTCAGTGCAAACCGGAAAAAAAAACAGATTAAAAATCTGCTGTTCAATTGTCTAGTACCTACTCCACCATAGCTACATAATGCCAACCAGAGAGATGTATCTATTTAGTGGAATTATATGGTCGCCCATCTCACATACATGACTTTGGGTGGCTCACAATGCTGAAAATAATAAAAACATACACAAAAATATGAGACCCATAGCAGCTGGGAAAAAAAATTGCAAAGCCACAATCCAACACCCAACCAAGCAATGGGCTCCATCCCGCTTCCAATGTCCCAGGCTTGAGCATAGGGCCACGTCTTCAGGGCTTTATGGAAGGCCAGCAGGGATGGGACCAATCTGATCTCTAGAGAGATGGCATTCCGGAGGGCAGATGCCATGATAGAAAAGACTCTCCTCCTGGGCCCTGCCAGATGACACTCCTTAGCTGACAGGACCAGGAACATGCCCCTCCTGGCAGACCGGATAGGATGGGTAGAAACAACTGGGGAGAGATGGAACATGAATGTTTATAAAAAAGCAATGAATGCTTCAGTAGCATAGAAGCTGTTAGCCTGGAGACATCTGCATGAAGATGTTCTAATGCACAGTTCATTTCCCCCATTTCTGCCACCCACAGACAGAGCTGTGAACTTCAGACTGCTTCCCACCTGTGCTCTTCATACACATAAAGCTTTTCCATAAAAAGCTCAAGATTACCCCAAGGGTTTTTTTAGTGTGGTGGTGGAGAGGACAAGATGAGGCCCTGCTCCTGATTAATTGATTATGTGCCATCAAGTTGTTTTTGATTCCTAGAGATCACATAGGTAAATTTTCTTCATGAGGATCTGCCCCCAACCTGGTCTTTCAGGTCTTCCAACAGTGCCCCCATCACCATTGTAACTGAGTCCAAGCCCCTTGCTGCTGGTTGTCCTCTTCTTCCCTTTCTTTCTTGGACTAGCAGTTGAATCTTACTGACAACAGGGGACAGTCCACTGCCATGCCTATGGATGGAAAGATAGTGCAGAAGGTGAAAGCCAAGTTGTGCAGCAGACCCAGGTGTATTGTCCAAAAGAGGGAACTACCTGGGAGCTACCATTGTTGCACCTTCAATGCCCCTTTTGAAGCAACCTTACCCAAAGGGCCAGTCTTCAAAAAGTGTTTTGCATATCTGTTGATATGCTTGCTTATTCTACTCTCTATAAATATGAGGCAAATGTTAACACACTGCAGTTTGCACATTTTCTTAAGCTCTTTTGGGTGAAACAGTGCTCAGTTCTGGCCTGCAACTCCGGATATGAATGTAACGCACAATTCTTCGGTCAGCAAAGGCGAGAGAAAAATTGAGAAGAGGCTAGCAGGTCTGTATTTCCAGAGCAGCGCTGGAACCTCCCTCTTCCGGAGGCCGCATCATGCTGAGTCGCTGCTAGGAGCGGGATCGAACTGATTCGTTCTCTAAGTTTGCATTTTCCCCCTTAAACGACTCGTGGTTTGGGGCTGATCCTGGAGGGGGGCGAATATGCCTAAGACCATTCGGCAACGCCTGGAAGAGACTTTGGAGGATCTGACGGAAGACCAGCTCCGAAAGTTCAAGGCGAACCTCCATGAATTCCCAGTCAAACCGGGCTACGATAATATCCCCAAAGGGCGGCTGCAGAAGGCGGACGCGTTGGATCTGAGCGAACTCCTGCTCAACTTTTACACCGAGGATTACGCCCTGGAGGTGGCAGCCGCGGTGCTGAGACACAGCAACTGCAAGCCCCAAGCTGAAAAACTTGTC